CCTTAGTCAATCCGCTTTTCAAGACATCAGTGGGTTTCCCCAGTTTAGCTGCTACTTCTGCCGGAGCGGCTTTGCCGCCGGCATTTCTTCGGTTGTCATTGCCCCACCTCCGCCTAACCTTGCCTGCCGAGCACGTTGATTCAAGGTGCTCTCATGCACGCCGATGTTCCACTCTTCTTTTTCTCGCAACCTCATTTCTCCAATCTGCTCCATCAGCCATTCGTAAGTCTTCGCGCCATGTCCCATTTTTTTCCTCGTACATGTCGTAGAGTTGGCATGCGAAACTCAACTTGTTAGGCTTTCTGCATTGCTCGATGAAGTGTGCATGAATCGAGGCTCTCATTTCATCAGACGGAGGTCGGGCGCCGTAGAGCTGTTGGTATACGTCTGTCCATTCATTATAAATATAATACAGATCGGCATCTGGCTTGTGGGGGTCAATAACAACGTTGAAGATATCACGCGAAATCCGATGTTGACCCAACTCCGACCTAGCAGAACACCAATGGCAAATGGCTCGTACCATCTCGCGTCCAGTTAAGAGCCTTCCCTCATTCCGGGCGCTGTATTCCATCCGAGTGATGTGTTGGAGGAAATGAATGTGATGACCAGGCTGGCTGCGATTTCTTCGCATTTTATTGATTTTCTCCATCAGATTGGTGGCGACCATGAGATCAAGACGCTGAAAGCGCCCTGCATCTTTCAATTGCTCATCGTCCACAGCTGGGTTCATAGCTTCCGTGATCCAGTGCTGCGCTGCTTGGCTCTCAGGCGACGATCCAGCGATCGCACGGACCGCGTGCATTTGCCACTCCCGTATGTTTGTAACATCGGGGATGTCCAGCAAGTCAATCTTCTGATTGTTTCCAACCTGTCTCCATTGGTCCAACGGCGTACTTTCACCAATAACTACTGGATCCTGCGGCCCGCCAGGGCCCTGAGGCCCCCCGCGGCCGCCTCCACCATCTGGGGGTCCCGAACCCCCTGGGCTCCCTGGAGGCGAGTTATATGGTCGTTTACCGTTGTCATCGTCACGCGTCGACATGATCTCGGCATTCGGAGCGTCACTCTTGTCGCCCCCTTCTCCGTCTTGCCCTGCCTCGCCCGACGACTTAGCCGCCGTCGGCCCCACAGGGCCACCCTTAGAAAACGGGTGGTAATTTACAAAAAGGTCATCGCCATTAGACCCTGTCAACTTTATGTTGATTGGATGCCCATTCTGAGGGGTGCTCGGCTTAGCCGGGCCCTCTAGAGCGGGACCGGGAACGGAAAAGTTGTGGCGCAACCGCGACCTCACACGAGTTTCTTGTGAAAGTAACGGCAAATCGAATGAACTCGAGGTGGGCCCTTTTCCTCGTTTACTTTCTGTATGCGGAATTGGATTCGTGATGATAGCTTTAGCTTCATCATTCTTTTCTCTGACTCAGCTGCGTCCGCCACGGCCTCTTCTTCTCGCGCGTTGGCAGCTGACCTTTCACTCTTCTGTAGGGTGCATCTGGAACACCTCCCAGCACTCGCATCGAAATGATCTTTACAAGCCGGCAAGCCGCAGCCAGCGCAATTACCCGTCCTCGGGTGTAAGCAGATCGAACAAAATTGGGCGACTATGGAACTCTCTGCTTGATTTTCTCCCCTTCTGCGGGTTGAGGCTGCGCTACCGCCGTCGCCGGCAAAGTTGACGATCCCGCGTTTACTACAGTTGTCAAGTCGGACTGAGGCGGAACGGATGTTGTGCCAGACGACTGAGCCGCTGGCAACGGTCGCCTGTCCGGCCCAGTCGGCTTGGCCGGCGGGCATTTATCATTGCTCGAATGCATGCGCTGCAGGGGTGCTCTGGCATCTTCATGCGATCTAAGTTCTTCCCGATATTGATTGTTCTGGTCAGCTATTTTCGCAGCTACTACGTGAGTGTTAACCACTTCCAGCCTGGCGTTTTTAAGCTCTTCTTGAAGGCTCTGCTTTTCTCGTTCCGCCCTGACTGTAGCGATTTGTTCTCCTTCTACTCTAGCCGCCGCAGCGGCGGCGGCGACCGTCTTGGCGTCAACAGACTGATTAGTCGCCGCCACAACGGCCTGTCGTTCTGAAGCCATCATCTCTAGATATCTACTCTCTGCTTCCATCTCCGCCTGCCGCTTAGCGGCCGCGGTCTGATGATACATCTGTTCTACCAGTTCTCGTTCTCGCACTCTAGCAGCCATGGCTAGAGCGAGTCTTTCAGCGTCGAACGTCTTCCGAACCTCTGTCATGGTTGCTGCCATCTCTTCTCGATCCAGTCGGGCCCTTTCAGCCAGCTGTGCTTCGCTGGTCAGAAACTCTCGCTGAGTTTTAGCCTCAGCTAGTCTAGCCTGATCTTGAATAGTTTGCATGAGAAGATATGTGCAGTTATGCTCGTCCATCGGAAAGCACTCTACACACAACCATTGGGTACTACACTTAGGGCATACTTCAGAGCAACTCTTACACACTGGATGCCTACATGCACCTTCTGGTTTGTTGGCTTTACCTGGGCATCTGCTTTCCGCCTGAGGTGCGATGTCAACGTTTGGGTTCCAGCATGTCTCCATTATGGAGATGTTACTGTTGCTCCTTGAAGTAGATCTTGCTCCTGATCTTGGCATTTTGGGTCTTCCCCCTACTAGGCGCATTTCGATCTGGGGCGCACAAACGTACCCTCTGGGGGTTTAGGTACCTCTAGCAGCTCCTCATCCCTCTCGTCCTGTCTTATAAGCTCAGTGTACGAAGCTGGTTGTCCGACCATTTCCTCATCCTCAACAACAGCTGGTATCGAGGGTTGCCAATCACCTGAGGCGACGGCAAGACGATAGAAACCTTCTTCAAGTGGTGAGTCGTTTAAATCATAATCCTCGTTTCTCTGCTTCTTGAGTTGAGGTGCAGGAGTCCGTCCTGTAGACTCCCTGTCATGCTTCGCCTGAGTCTCAGTCCTGTCCGCCTGAGGCGTCAGGTCACTGGTATCTTCATCAGATCCATCTGGGGACCACCTCTCGCCTTGGGCGGGGTGGCCTGCTTCCATTAATGAAGACAATTCTCGGCTCAGAGAGATTCCTTTGTTGATACAATCAAAATCTTCCTCCATTGAGTTTATTTCATGCTCTTTATCAACAGGATCATCGCTGTCTTGGCCGAGTTGTCCATTTAACGCTATTGGGATGGGAGCATTTCTACTCGTACCTCCCCATTCGCCTGGGACGCTGGGGCACGCGCCTGTGGTCTCGTGGACTTCCCCTGGTCGACTGGCTTCACCAATGGCCGGTACGATTGTATGTGTAGAGCTCGGAATAGGGCTGATCGACTCCGTCGATTCGGCGATCCAAGACGAGAAAGCACTCCGTCTAGATCTTGCTGTTGTGCCGTTTCGTCCATGCGGGTCTGGGGTTTGTTCACGATTACCGATCGGAACTCCAGAGGGAGAGCCATCTTCCGACGTCTCTACAGCCCCTTCAATGCTTCTACCCCTAGATACCCGAGCGGCGATATTAGGATACCCGAGTGGCGATATTAGAAGGAGGAAGGCGGCCCTGGCCAGGACCGCTCTCATGAGGGTCATGTCCGTCGCGTTGTACAACATAATGATCTGCGCTTCGCGAAGCGACGGACATATCATCTGTCTTATCATAGCTCATACCCGCAGCGATTAAGTCGTGGGGTTCATCCGAAGTTCCTGCTTCTGGTTGGTATGATCCCGCTTCGACTATGTCGCGCACTTCGGCTGATAACCAGTCTTTCCTCTGATAATCGGGGTAACATGCCAAAGGCATTAAGATCTCATGCTCACTCTGCTCAGGGAGAGAGGGGACGGGATGAAACATCGATAAGACAAGTATCCGGTAAGCAAGTTTACTGTATCAGGAATGGTAAGGGAGGTGGCCGGCCGGCCAGCGACACGACGACGACGCGGGGGCGACCCCGCGGCGCGCGCGAGCGGGCTAGTTCGCACCTTTTCTCTCCTGCAAGCAAACGAATAGCTTGCTTGAGTAAGCAAACAGCTGCAGTATGCAACATAAGTTCAAGTCATACAGCGCGCAGCATGCAAGTGTGACTATAGGTTATATTATCATGAGGCGGAGAGGAGCATATTTACTAAAAAAACTAATCTGGATGAATGGGGAATTTCAGACATCCGGCGATTCTGGAAGATGTGCCGCGGGCGCCGCGGCCGTTCCAGAGCGACCCAGAACGCCTTGAGAGCGTTCGGGAAAAATCTAGAGCGACGTATCCCTCTAGTGGCCAGCCTATTCTTCCCTCCCTCCCTCCCTCCTCCTCTCTGACGGCGGAAAATTGAAACAACGGCAGCTGGAATTGGGTCCCCGAACCCCTCCCGGGTTCCGAACGCACCAGTTCTTCGAGCTGCGTCCAGTCGTGGCGACGAGGGGCCCCCCCGAAGGCCAACTGCCGTTGCCTCAACTGGCCCTCCTCTGATCCTCCCTCCCCCTCCCCCCCTCCTCGTAGAGAGGAGCTGCTGAAATGAGGAACGCCAACTAACGAAACCTCTGGCCCCCAAAAGTGCCTGCGTGCACGAGGAGCGATAGATTAACAACCCTTGAAGAGCTTAAAAAACACCAAGCGCCTTCCGAACCAAAAGCGGTCCTTATTTCAGCGTTTTGGTTGTCTCTCGCAGCGTCGCCGGGCATTCCCATCCGCGCTCGCGCGCCCAGGGCCCCCCAGCAGCGGGCGGCCAGTCCGGCGCGAGTGCGCCGCCCCCCCCATGACGCCGCTGGGGAACCCTTTCCGGACGGGGGGGGGGGGGCAGGGTTAGGTCGGGCCTGTCCCACCATACAGGGGGATTTTGAACGGAAAATAAAACATACTAAACAAGGATTCAACAGATGCCCCAAAATCCACCCAAAAAAAAACCGAACTGATTTGTTACTATGTTTGAATATTCCCCCTGTAGAGGGACAGGCCCGACATAAGGGCAAGGGGGGGAGGCCGCCGAACCTTCCTGCATCGGCCTGGGGCAGATCGTAGCGTCTTGGCTGTACCTTGCCGCCCCCCGACCTCGTCACCCAGGGTGCACCACTTGAAATCCAGGCGCAGCCGCGCCAGGTCGCGCGGCAGCCACCGCAGGAGCGAGCGGACGCCCCCGCCGCCCAGGTCCTCTCCGAAACGACGACGACGATGACGATGACGACGACGACGACGACGACGACGACGACGACGACGACGACGACGACGACGACGACGACGACGACTACCGACGATTACGACGATTACGACAATGATGATTACGATTGCGAGAGCGACAACGACAAAAATGACGACGACGACGACGACGACGAGGACGAGTACGAGTACATGGACGAGGACGACGACCGCGACGACGACGACGACGACGACGACGACGACGACGACGACGACGACGACGACGACGACGGCGACCTCGACGTTCTCGACGGCGCGCGCGTCAACGGCGCGACGAATGACGCCCTAGCGCGCGCGCCGCCCCGCAGGCCGATCCGCCCTGCCAGCCCCACGCCTGGCACAGAAACCCCAAGACAGGGCACTGGCAGAGTAGGTCAGCTTTTACCCTACCCGCACTGGCTTCTGACCCCTCCGCACACCGCGGCGGAGGCTTCGCGTGACACGGGGGGGCCTTCAAGGCTAACTCCGAACCTGCCGCCGTCGGGCCCCTTTAAGAACGCCGCCCTTGCCGCCCCCGCCCTCGTCTGGCCGCCAGGGCCAGGCGCCCCTTCGCGCCCCTCCGCGGCCGTCCGCCCCCTCAGCGCGGCGCCCTCGCCGCCGCCGCCGCCGCTCCTCCGCCGCCGTCGAGGGCAACCCGCCGCGCAGGCCGCCCCCACCCTCTCCTCGCCGCCTCCGCCGCCGAGGGCAGCCTGCCTCGCAGGCCGGCCCGCCCCCTCCCTCGTCTCGCCCCGCCCCGCTCTGGTCGCCCCGTCGCGCGCGGCCGCCATGGGCCCGGCGCGCCCTCGACGCTGTGGCCTGGGCCTCCTGCCCCCCTCAGCGCCAGGCCCCGGCCTTCATTTCGATGCCGCTTCCTCGCCTCGGCCGTCGGCCTCCCCTGTGGCCGCCTCAACCTTCGCCCCCCCTGCTCGCCCGCCGAGCGCGAGGATCCAGTCCTCATCCACTCCGTAGACCTTCTCGACCTCCTGGAGCAGCTTCAGCGCCAGGGCGCGGCCATAGGCGGCCCCTCCTCGCCCTGGGGTCCCTTCCTCTGGGCGCGCCCGCCTCTCGGGCTCCTTCCCCTGCCCCTCCAGCTGGTCCCCCGCGACCTCCTCGAGCTCTTGCCACAGGGCCGCAGAGACCCCGTCGAGGTTGTTGCGCCTGCAGGCCTCCTTTGGCGGCAGCGGGTGAGGCCCCTTCCTCTGCCTCCTCTGCTGCCTCCTTGCAGCCAATGCCTTCTCCTCGGCATTCCTGGAACAGGAGCCCCCTCCGCCACTTGTTGACCCGCAGATTGCTTCGGGCGCCCGACGCTCTGCACCTCCTGCGAGCGAACCCGCGCCCGCCCTTCTCGCTGACGAACTCGCCCAGGTGGTGGCCCATCCATCTGATGATGGGCACGCGTTCCTCGCCCCCTGGCTCCTCGCCAGCTGCCTCGCTGCTCCTCGGCTGGCATCGGCCTCTTCCGCCCTCTCGATTTCCTCGATGGCCTCGCCGACGTCCCGCGGGCAGCTCTTCCAACTCGATCGTCGTCTCGCTCGGGGCCGGCGCCTGCGCCTGCCGCCGGACCGACGACTGGCCGATCTACTTCGATAGAGATGGGCGCCTTCGGCCGCCGGCCTGCGCTCGGGCCGGCGACCCCAAGCAGCCGCGCCCACGTTGGCGAGGCAATCCACTTCCTCGTCGCCTTCCCTCGCCCGCCTCTCGGTCTCCGTCGCGCGCGCTGACCTGGGCTCGCGCGCCATCGCTTTCGTCGCCCCCGCGTCGCCCTGGCCTCCGAGCTCGTTCCACCGCCGCTTCCGCGGGCGCCCCGTCGCCGCCCCTTTCGCCAGCGCATGGCCGATGTCCGTCGCCTGTCGGATCGCGCCCACGCAGTTGCTGAGTGCCCCCATCGGCGCCGCTGAGCAGCTCGAAAGGAAGTGGAACGCGCAATCCCCGCCGCCCCTCGCCAGCCGCAGCGGCCCCCGCGCCAGCGGGGCCGCGCCGCGCGCCCCCCGAAGCACCTGGCCGCCCTCGCGCCGCAGCACGAAGACCCAGCCTGCCCTCCCAGGATCTCCTCCGCGAGGTCGGCAGTGGACGCGCCCGCGAAGACCCCCCCTGGGAGTGGCCGTTCGGCGGTCGCTTGACCCAGTTCATCCCCCGCCCCCAAGTCTGGGCTCTCGCCTGGAGCCATCTGAGCCAGCGCCACTGGAAAACAAGCCGCCGGCGAGCCTCTCGCCTGCCCCCTCCCCTTGCTCGAGCGCCCCCCTCGCCGCAAGCCTCGCCGGCTCGGGGCGCGCGAGTCTCTCGATGGCCAGCGCCGCGTCGTAGCCGAATTGGCAGCTGCCCATTCTGGCTGCAGGCCTTGGTCGAGAGGCCTCGCCCGCGCCGGCGCGGAATCTCCTGCCGCGCCCTTCGGTGCCCTCTTGTGCTTGGCTCCACGTCGCGGACTCGGGTTCTGCCGCGCGCCCCTCGAAGGGCCCCCAGCGCACTTGCCCCCCCCGCGCTGACCGCTCGCCCAAGCTGAGCAGCGCGCGGGCGCCCCCCACCGACCTCGCCGCCCCAACGACCGGGTCGGCGATCAAACTCGCGCCCAGCCACCTCGCGTCGAGCCCCCCTCCGTCGACACCTGCAGCTCGCGCGCCGACGGCATCGTCGCCCCCGCTCTGGCCAGCGCGCCCGCTGGGCTGACTGCGCCAGCCTGTGGCCTCCTCCTGCTCAACAACCTTTCGGCCCCCATCCAGCAGCTCCCCGTCGCGGCCCTGGGGGGCGCCCTCGTCGGCCCCACAGCGCGCGTCGCCCAAGTTCCGGCGACCCCCGTGGCCGCGAGGGCCCCCGGGTCGCGTTGGCCCCCCCGTCGCGCCGCTCGGAGCTTCAGGCGCGCCGCCGCTCCTCTCGGCAGCCTGCCCTGCCCCTTCGTCGCCCGCGCGCGGTGCCGGTGCAAATTGAAGTCAGCGACCCCCGTCGCGCCTGCCTCCGCCCGGCTGCCTTCGCCGCTCTGGCCAACCTCGCGCCCTGCTCTCCTGCCCCTCCCCACCTTCCGCCGCTCGCGTCGCGGCCGACGTTCCTTGCGCCTGCCGCCCTCTCTAGCGCGATGTCCGACTCCGCGAGCGTGAGATGCATGATCCTGGCCGTCTCCGCGTCGCCCGCCGCGGAACCGGTCTTGCGCCGCGCCGCCGCCGAGCGCTTCGCCTCGAGCAGGCCCGCCTTGCAAGCGTCGCCTGGGCGAGCCGCTCCCTGACGTGCGCTGACCCGCCCGGCGCCCGCGCCAGCGCGTCGCCCGCCGCGTTCTGGCGCCTCGCCAGCGGGCGCCCCTTGCCCAGCCAACTCAACGCGCTGCGCATCATGACCTTCGCCAGGCCAGCGGCGCGGCAGCTGCTTGCCGCCGGCGCCCCGCTCGCGCCCAGCTCGCTGACTAGCTGCGCCCCCCCCCCCCGCCCCCCCCGGCCCTTTGGGCGCGAGTGGTTTAGAGAGCCCTCTCTGTCCTCAACCCCCCTTCTTCCCCTTCGGGGAGGGGGCTGCCCCTCCCCCTACCCCCTCCCCCTGGGCCTGGAGAGGGAGTCCCGAGCGTGGTCAGGGGGGGTCTTTTTCGACTCCTGGGAGGGCTAAAAAACGACGACCCTCGCGAGGATTCTGGCCCCGAGGGGGGGGGGGCGTTTGGCGCCTCCGCTCTTCTTTGAAGCCAAAATCATTGATTTTACTAGGGTTTCGGGCCCATTTCGGGCTTCTGAGGGGGCAGCGCCCATCGTCCTTCATAGCAAAAACATTGATTTTACTAAGGTTTTGGGCTCATTTCGTCCTTCTCAGGGGGCAGCGCTCATTTGCGCTTCTGAGGAGGTCGCAAGAGGCCCCAAGATGGCCCCAAGAGGCCCCCAGGAGGCTCCCAAGAAGCCTCCAAGAGGCCCCCAAGAGGCCCCCAAGAGGCCCCAAGAGGCCCCCATAGCAGGCTCCGTCCAAGAGCGCTTCCGCCCCCAAGATGGCCCCAAGAGGCCCCCAGGAGGCTCCCAAGGCCTCCAAGAGGCCCCCAAGAGGCCCCCAAGAGGCCCCAAGAGGCCCCCAAGAGGCCCCCAAGAGGCCCCCAAGAGGCCCCCCCCAAGAGGCCCCAAGAGGCCCCCAAGAGGCCCCCAAGAGGCCCCCAAGAGGCCCCAAGAGGCTCCAAGAGGCCCCCAAGAGGCCCCACGAGGAGCCCGAACGACTCACACCAGGACGAGGGGCCCGAACGACTCACACCACGAAGAGCCCGAACGACTCACACCACAAGGAGGGGCCCGAACGACTCACACCAGGACGAGGCGCCCGAACGACTCACACCACGAGGAGCCCGAACGACTCACACCACGACGCGGGCCCCGAACGACTCACACCACGAGGAGCCGGAACGAGTCACACCAGGAGGAGGGGCCCGAACGACTCACACCAAGACGAGGGGCCCGAACAACTCACACCACGAGAAGCCCGAACGACTCACACCAGGACGAAGAGCCCGAACGACTCACCACGAAGAGCCCGAACGACTCACACCAGGAAGAAAGGCCCGAACGACTCGCACCAGGACGAGAAACCCCAAACGACTTAAACCACGAGGAGCGCTTTCTCTCCCTCCTCCTCCGCCTCGCCCTTCTCCCGCCCCCCCCCCACAAGGAGGATGCGCAAGGAGGCGGGAGGAAGGAGGAACAGGGGAGACATGCGGGGCCAAGCGGACACACGCCTGAAAAACACGACTGTCGGCATGCTTCGCAAGAGTTGCTGCTGTGAGATGGGCTGGTGGGGATACGCGAAGCGTAAAGAATTGAAGTCAGCGACCCCCGTCGCGCCTGCCTCCGCCCGGCTGCCTTCGCCGCTCTGGCCAACCTCGCGCCCTGCTCTCCTGCCCCCCCACCTTCCGCCGCTCGCGTCGCAGCCGACGCTCCTTGCGCCTGCCGCCCTCTCTAGCGCGATGTCCGACTCCGCGAGCGTGAGATGCAAGATCCTGGCTGTCTCCGCGTCGCCCGCCGCGGAACCGGTCTTGCGCCGCGCCGCCGCCGAGCGCTTCGCCTCGAGCAGGCCCGCCTTGCAAGCGTCGCCTGGGCGAGCCGCTCCCTGACGTGCGCTGACCCGCCCGGCGCCCGCGCCAGCGCGTCGCCCGCCGCGTTCTGGCGCCTCGCCAGCGGGCGCCCCTTGCCCAGCCAACTCAACGCGCTGCGCATCATGACCTTCGCCAGGCCAGCGGCGCAGCAGCTGCTTGCCGCCGGCGCCCCGCTCGCGCCCAGCTCGCTGACTAGCTGCGCCGCCCCCCCCCCGCCCCCCCCGCGGCAAACTGTAGCTCGCGCGCAAGGGGCGCGCGAGCCCCCTGGGGGCGGCCGCCAGCTCCGCCCCCCGCTGGAGCGCTCGGCGCGAGACGCGATCGTAGAATTTCGCCAAATCCAAGATGCCCGCCCCGCGCGAGAAGCCCGCTCTAACCCGCATGGCGCGATGCCAGGTTAAACGCCGCACCTGCCGCGTCGCGCGGCTGCGCCGCCGTGCCCCAGAAGCGCCCTTGTCGGCGAGCGCCGCCTCGTCACCGCGAATGCCGGCAGGCGGGCGGGCCCGAGCCCGCCGTCGGGCTTCGGCAAAGGCACGGTCACCATGATGCACAACGCCATGGGCCGCGCGCGCGCGCCTGCCGCGCGCGCGCCTCCCACGCGTTGAAGGCCCCCGCCGACCTGTCGCCGCAGGTGTCAGGCAGCTGCCTGAGCGCCCGCGGGCGCACTTTGGCCTCTCACCCAATCCTGCGGGCACTGCCCCCGCCTCCGGGCCCTCTTGGCCCGCGCGGCATCCGCGCCTGCAGCGCCACATCCAGCGCTGCCGCGCCCGTCCGCGGCACTCCTCCAATCTTGTGTCATCACCGCAGCCCGCGCCTCCCTCCCTGAGGTACTTCAACGCCGCCGAACCTCTCGGTGGTTCGCTTAATCCACTCCCGCCAGCGCTGGATCGCCTCCATGGCATCTGCCTCCGCGCGCCTGGCCAGCTGCCCCCGCGCCGCCTCGATGGCTTCCATCTGCTCGTCCTTGCATCAGCCGTGCCGGCGAATTTGCAGCGTCTCAGCTCCTCCCGCAAGCGGGCCCTCCGTCGGCCGAGTTGCCGCCCCCTCGCCCCGCCTCGGGCCCTCCTCGGCCTGTCGCAGCGCTCGGCTGCTCTTTGCTCAGTCGTTGCTGCGTGCGCTCCTCATCCTCACCGCCGCCGCCGCTCGCCCTGCCCGTCAGTTGGCGCTGCGGCTCGAGCGCCGCGCAGAGCCCTTCTGCCACCCCGCGCCCAGGTCAACGCGCGGAGGCGTGGCCCCCGAGGCCTCCTGACCTTCGGTGCGCCCAGGTCGCGCATCTCGCACAAGTAATTCTCCGCCGTCGAGAACCACTCCTTGCGCGCCTCCCCAGCGCTCGTCCCCCCCTGCGCATCGATCTTCTGCGGCTCGCTGAGGAAGACCTGCGCCTGCGCCCTGCGCCCCACTCCCTTGGAGGTGACTGCCGCGGGCATGTGGAGTCTGCGCGCCACCTCCATGACCACCTTCACCTTCTTCACCAACGGCGCCAGCACGTCGACGCGATGAAATAATCGAGCTCCTCTCCTCCCATCGTCGCCGCCCCGCCGGTGATGACCGCGCCCCTGTTCCTGTGGGCCCACTCCTGGAGGAGGCACGGGTCCATGTCCCACTCGCCTCCCAATATCCACGCCTCCTCTGACCTCGGATCTGTCCTCCGATCTCCTCGTGTAGCTGCACGTTCCCTTCCAAGCCGACGCCGTGCTCGAGGTGCACCGACGCCATGAACACCTTCACTTGCAGGCCCAGGACCACTTCTGCCGCCACCCACCTGTGGTTCCAGGAGCGTGCCCGCCTGCCGCTGCCGGCCGCCATCGCCATGAGCACTGCCGTGCCGCCGCTCGTCTCCAGAGCGCCTTCACCCGAGGACTCCGCCCTGCCCATGGCTGCCCTCCACGCTCGCCTGCGTGACCACGTGCTCGCCCTCCTGAGCGCTTGAGTGGTCTTGCCACGGTGTTCCTGCAGCAGCGCACACTCTGGTTCCAGCAAGTCTGGCCTCGTTCCTCGGTCTCGCTTTTCCTTTTCGCCCAGATGGGGCCCCTTGACGGTACTTGTCCCCGTGCTAGTGAAGCTCACGGTGCCCGCGGTGATGGCCAGTCGATGTTTGGTTCCGCTGCGACAATGCCAGCGCATCCCCCATCGTGGTCGCCCTCGGCTACTGACGAGGTCGCCTTGGCCTTGGTGTTCGTCATCCCGACTGCATCATGCCATCCAGGCTCGCCAGGGGCCACCACCTGAGTTTCCTGTCTGTCTCTGCCTCTTCCCAAAGGCCTCCTCCTCGCCTTTGGTCGCCGTCGTGCCGCCTCTCGCCTCCAGTGCCAACGCCGCCCCTCCTTGTCAGATGGACCCATCCACCTGCTCGAAAATGTCGGCATCCACGCGGGCCACGCCTCGACCTTCCTTGGCGGCGCCGTCGTCGCTGGCGTAGCCCTGGTCCCCAGCTCCCACCTCCTCCCTGGTGATCCAGTCCGCCAACCAGATCGCAACGCAGCCTTCCTCCCCTCTAGCCTTTACCCGCTGCTCTGGGGGATCGCGCCTCTCCCAGAGTTTCTGCTCCACCTGCCATGTGAAAAAGTCCACTTGCTCTATGATGTCAATGGATTGGCCCTCCTCCTCGTCCTGGCCCGACGACGACGACGACGACAACATCGACAGGGGTGGCGATGTCACGACGAGAACGACGACTCGAATTTGGGCCCTGGGGAGGGGGCCATCGTCGCCACGGCCGGGAACGGCCCGAAAAATGGACCGGGATGGACTCCGGAAGGGGGGACCGATTCCGAGCGGACTCTGTCAGTCAGGAAGGGGCGGCGAAGTCGGCCCCAGAATCGAGTGTCAACCCTCTTTCGTTTCCCCTCCTCGGGCCTCGAGTCCTCTCTCCTCATCCTGGTTTTCCTCCTCCTCCTCCTCCTCCTTCTCCTCCTCCTCTTCCTCCTCTTCCTCCTCCTCCTCCTTCTCCTCCTCCATCTCCTCCTCCTCCTCCTCCTCCTCCTCCTCCTCCTCCACCCCCTCCTCCTCCTCCTCCTCCTCCTCCTCCTCCTCCTCCTCCTCCTGCTTATCCTCATCCCGACCTTTTTTGACGTCTTTTTTGACGTTGAGCGGACTTTGATCCTAGGACTGTAGCGTCAGTTAGAACACACAATCGCGTGAAGATACAGACGCAGGCCTGGAGGCCAACCAAAGAAGTCGGACAGGCGTAGCAGAACAAGAAGGGCATAGGCAAGGATAAATAAACCTACCCAAAAGAGCGCAGAATATACGCCTGCCAAACAATACTGGGAGAAGGAAAAAGGAGCAATCATGACTTGTAACGTAAGCAAGTATAGAGGGAACCTCCCCCCTTACTAACAAAATCCCCGTAGTACCACTACGCACAGTGAAGCACGTCTTGCATTGAAATAAGAATAAGTCTGCAACGTGGCAAAGGATTCAACATATAGCAGGCGACGTCGCTGGTGGCAAACAGTTGGGAGTTGGCTGCGTATACGAATTGAGTGTGCTGTGGTAGGCAGTCCACAGTGGGACCGGCCCTCGGGCGTGTCCCCCACCGACGTGCCAAAGTGGCAACAAAAAGTGCTCATCAGCATCACGGCAGGATGAAGACAAGGTCGAAAGATCGGTAGAAGAGAAAGCGTTAATTGTGTGGCCCCTTGGGTGGTGCACCGTCACTGCGCAGGGGGGGGGGGGCCTGCACACAGAGACCCAAGGTGGGGTGCTGTCATATTCCTCCCCGCGCTCCCGCCGCCATCAAATCCTCCCCAACCCCACCCGATCATATGTGTAAAGAGGCTGGCACAACGTTGAACTACGCTGCATAATCAGCAGTGCTGAGGGGCTGGCGCATGCGAAATCGCTGGCCTAACCTGGTGGCTCCGCGCTGTGTCAACACGTACACCAGTCAGCTGGCACTGGCTGTGGTTATGTATTGAGGCTGGCAGAAGCGGTGCTGGCTGGCCTAGACGTCGTAAAAGTACAATGTCGCGAATTGTACTCGGACGCTGCTGAACTCAAAAAGGCGGTGGGACCGCACCCTGTCCCCCACAGAGGTCCGCACGCTTCTGCGCCCCCCCTTCAAAGTACAGTAACACACCGCCCACGTCCTCCCCGCGCTGAAGCTGCTGAGTGTTACGCTAAAGGCTGGCACATTCCGAATGGCTGGCCGACTGTATGCCATAGTAGCGGTAATATTACCAGCTATGCTGAGTGGCTGGCGCAGCGAGATGTGTGGCGTAAGCGGCATGGCCGGCTGCGTACGAGGCTGGCGCAGGTAGTGCTGGCTGGCCTACGGCCTCGAATTTTCAAGCTGCCACGTATCGTACTCGGATGCTACTGCTCTGATGGGGCCGCGCCCTGTCGCCAAGGGGGGCCCGATGCGCTGCCGAGCGCAACTCCCTCACCCACGGAAGTAAACGCAGTGTACCAAACCACCGTCCCCCAAGCCCCCCTCGCACTGAAAGCTGCTGAGTGTACGCTATAGGCTGGCACATTCTGACTGGTTGGCCTGCGCTGTGACTGCATGCCATGGTAGTGGTGAGATATAACCGGCAATGCTGAGAGGCCGGCACAAGCGAGATGCGCGGCGTAGACGGCAAAGCTGACTGCGCATGAGGCTGGCGCAAACAGCGCTGGCTGGCCTAAGGCCTGGCAGTTTAAAGTTGCCACGCATTGTACTCGGATGCTGCTAAGCTGGTTGGGCCACGCATTGTGCTCCAGGGGTGCCCGATGCACTGCTGCGTCATACCCCCATTCCATCTAAGTACACGCCGCCCAACATCCCCACCCCGATCTTCACAAGTGAGAAAACAACGCACATGTGACGCGCAAGGTGCCGGCGGCAATTCTTGGGTTGCTACCCGAAGTCCCGCCAACCCTCTGGGCGCAGGCGGTCTAACGATGCCTTCCTTCTCTTTTCCAGGCGCCCCTCTTCCCCTTCGGGGAAGGGTTTACCCATCCCATCTGCCCCCTCTCCTGGGCCTGGACGGGGGGGGGCGCGAGGTGTCAGAGGGTCCTTTTGGCCCAAGATGGCTCCAACAGGGCCCCAACGAGCCCAAGATGGCCTCCCAAATCGCTCAAGATAGCCCGACATGGCTCAATATAGCTAACAGCATGCCTTCAGGAAGCCCCAACAGGGCCATAAGACTGATCCAAGTGCTTTTGGAATCCCCTCAGGACCTCCCCGAGAAGCCAAACTGGGCGCCGGCGGTAAACCGTCAACCTTTCTTACCGCCGGGAGACTCGTAGAGCTTCCTTACCATATATTATGTCCAAAGAATTGGCAGAGAACGAACAGTTTTCAGCCTCAGCGCTGATAGCAGACTCATCTCGGGCTTTTAGATCTGCAGCTCGAGCTACGTGAAGAAATTCACCATCATTTCGAAAAAATCGGTCGAATACACATAGTTTTGCGAACCTAACTCGAGTACAATACTGAGTTCAGAGCTCTAGATGCAACAGACGCACGCGCCTGATGATGCTGAATCGATCGATGTGCGCTCCAGCTCTGTAGCTTTCCTACATTTCGAGTCAAGTACAGAAAACCGACAGCATTTGTCAAGATGACTCGAATAA